CTTTCTCCCCCAATTTGTTTTCTTTAGAGACACACCATTAAAAAATTACACTGCCCACTGTTTCTGTGTTTGCTGTGAATTGTCTAGCTCTCGCCAGCAGGGAAGCCCAGTGAGGGCAGACTGTCTGCCTCGGCCACCATCACACTCCCGGCCGGGCACGGAATGACAGTCCACTGCACAGTAACTGCCGCCGTTCTGCTTGCTCCCCATGCACACAACCATGCCGGCACCCGGCGCCTTGCCCGGAGCCCAGGAAAGCTCCCCACTGAGCGTGGTTGCGGGTATTATGCTGATTGCAGTTTTCATTATTTTCCCTGCACCTTTTGGCTGTCTGGATACACAAGGCATTTCTTTTCTTTTTGCTTTTGTTATTCATTATGATTCACTCGGGGGGAAGAGTTATATAGTTGGTTCCGACTGAGCCTCAAGAAGAATCATAAAAAACATGTCAGAGAAACAGAGAGACCAACATGGCTGTTTGGGACAGCCTGGCAGCAGGCCAGTCTTTTTGGTGCAAGAGCTCAGGAATATACTATTAACTACCACTCACTGAGGGTTTACCATGGGCCACACTTTATGCTCAGCCCCTGCATGGCCCACACATGAAACCTCGAAGGAAGCCTGGGAGGAAGTGGGACTGCAGGCCCCACTGTGCAACTGGGGAACTTGGCATGGAGTCTAGTAAGTTGCCCAAGGTCACCCGGCTAGAATATGGACAGCCTGGATTTCCTGCTGAATTAGTCCAGCTGATCCCACGACAGCAGCAGGCTGTGAGGGCCAGGGCCCTGGGTGAGCCCCAGTTCCAACTCTAACTCAGCGGATGTGGGCTCGAGGTCACCTGCCCTCTCTGGACCTGGGTCTCTCCAGCTGTGAGGTGAGCAGTAGGACCACATGACCCTCCCATTCTGCCGGTCTGTGATCGAGATGTGCCAACACTGGGGTCCCAGACCCCTCCAGATCTCCTTCTCCCACAACTGCCCACACAAACTCAGATGCCCCCCTGCTGGCTCTCAAACCCTCTCCCCCTACAGCTCATTATACGCTCGAAACAGCCAAAGGAGTCAGGCGGGGCAGAAATTGCCCTGCCCGTTTCATAGTTAGGAAAGTGAGGCTCAGAGAGGACACACTGTTGGCCGAAGAATAGGACAGCTTAGGTGGCAGAGAACAGACTTAATCCCACTCCTCTGACTCCCTGTCTAGAGCCTCTCCTCCCGCCCCAGCTACTGCTGAGACGAAAGAGGCAAGAGAGGGTGGACTTTCCTGAACATCCAAGTTTGGGGTCCCGAGGCTCCAATCATCGAACCTCAGAGCTACAGCAAATCAGAGCTGGTGGTCTTACAGACTTGGCAGTCATTCTGTCTGTCCCTGTGGGCATTCACCTGTTGCCCATGTATGGTCTCTGTTGCTTAGAGGGGACAGTGCCCCGGGGGAGTCTCAGACCCCAGGGCCTGGGCCATCCACCAGGCCAGTGTTTCCCAAACTTTTTGACTAGAAGAAGACTCCCTCCGTCTCTTCCCGACACTCCAACCTGCTGATGCAGAGAGATGGTCCTCAGGGGAGGGGCCAGGAGGACACCAGCTGCCCACTCCTTTGTTCTCTCAGGCAAAGGGTCGGGTGGGCACAGCTGGGGGCAAGATTGCCAGGCCCTTCACTGTCCTCCCTGGGAGGGAGGGCGCACCTGCAGATAATTAGTCCCAATCAGGATGGGCCCAAACTGCTGACGATGCAGGAACCGGCTGGCCGTGTCACTGCTTTGCAAATGGTGAGCAGTTTCTGAACCGTGGCCCTGGCTGGTAGAGCAGGGGTTTAACTTAATATTTAATGTGGCATATAAACGACGGAGAGAAATCGACTAGTTCTCTACTGAGATCTTCCCTAGTGTGAGTGCTGGGATGCAGCAGCCGGAGGCCACCTGCCCAAGCCCCGCCCCCAGACCCCAGGCTGCTGGCCCCAGCAGAGCCCTGGCTGGGCTCACAATCCAGCTGTGGGAGGCGGTCAGGCCTGGGCTGGAATAACTAAGGCCACATGGTGACGGGGGCCGCTCTACCCCAACAACTCCTGAGGACATTCCTTCAAGGCATTCTGATATTTTGCAGTGGGGTCAGCAACTGTCCCTAGGAGGTGTTTTGAAAATCTGTGGGGGCTTTGACATGATGAAGGGGCATTATTGGTTTACAGTGGAGCCATCCCACGCAATAGTTTTCCTTCATTCTACACTATTGTCATGTCTTGCCAAACATTATATAGGAAAAAAATCTGTTGGTAATTATTTGAATCCAGAACTGAACTTCATTTACATATAAATGTGAATTTGCAATTTCCACAGTCTTACCATGCACTGAATATTCTAGGAGTGCAACTACCGTGTACGCTGGCCAAAGCTTGTACCTTGTTTTACCTGGAGCTTTGCCAAGAGTTGCTCACCTATTGGCAAAGTCAGTTCAAAGTATGAGCCAGTGTGAGGCCCTATGTCCACACGCCTGCACAAGTCTGTGTTCAGGACTGCTGCATTCACGGGGATTCTGAGATGGGGTAAGCCCCAGACTACTTCATTAGGTTTTGCAGGGCATTCGACTCAAATTCCCTTTCAGGCAGGCTTATAAGGTAAATGAGAGGCTGGGTGGGGGCCTGTCTTGAGGGGTTGCTGCCACTGAGCCCCCATCTACCATGACCATGTGGGAATATGGCCCAGTGTGGCAAGATTTTCTGGTTTTTCAAGTGAAGCCAGAAATTCAGATTTAAATTTTTTAAATGTTGATTCAAATTTGTAAAAAGTCCTATGTGGGCCCAACCAACCATATCTGTCCCTTGTCCAGCTGGCCACCAGTTTACCACTTCAGTAGACTGGAGTCTCAGAAGTGCAACCACACTTTCAGCGTTTACTGGCTCGTTTCTCACCTAAACAGGCTTGTGCACGGATGGAGAACGGACTTGTCTTGTGATGTGCTGAACGCCAAGCTTCCCATGAACTCCAGTCCCAATATCAAGCCCTCCTTCTGCAGAGCAGTCCCCTCGGGGATCTCATTCGATCCTCAGAGGGCTCTGAGAGACCAGGACCATTTTACGGACGGAGAAACTGAGGCTTGGGATGTGTCCGAAGCCCCCCAGATCATCTGTGTGGCAGAGTGGCCGGCTGTGCAGGCCCTGGTATCCAGTTTTAACGTCACTGCCCACTAGCCCGGTTCACTGGTAAGCTGTGTAATTGCCCCAACCCTCAGTTTCTTTATGAAACGACATGAACAGAATAGTACCCACTCCCCGGGTTCCTCCGAGGGTAAAGAGTTCACCTAGCAGAGTACATGGTACTTGGTAACTACTCAACAAAGTGACAGTTCCCATCACAATGAACCAGCCCAGCTTCTTTTACACTCTACCACCCCCACCATCCCAATTATTTGTAGTCTCTTGGAAAAAATAATGACCAGGACCTAGGGATTGAAGGCTAGATCCAATTTTCCCCTTGCCCCTTACATTGAGCAAGTCAGGGCCCCTCCCTGAGACTTGGGTTCTGCATATATAAAATAGGGGTGCTGTCAGAGGTTTTGTCACGGACCTCTGTGACACCAAGAGAGAGGACCTCATAGAATGTCACTCTGACTGAAGCTCTTCGTGTCCCCATCACTGCCCCATTGGAGTCACCTCCCAACCTGCAGGCTTAGCTGCATGTCAGGTGGACAGGGGACCAAGTCACTCTTGCCACCTGATGGATCCCCACATGGTGCCCTAATCTGTAAACAGGCCCGGCTGCTTCTGCCTGAGCCCCTGAGCCCCAGGCTAGCAGACCTCGCAGCCCAGGTCTCCCAGCTGGGTTCGCCCTGCTTTATGAGCTGGTCTCAACCAGACCCTTCCCCTGCAGTTCTAACTTGAGTCCAGCCCCCAGCTCCTCTGATGCAACCACAGCCTACCTGCATTTCAAAGAACCCCTGTCTCTGTCACTAATCACTGAGCCCTGCCTACCAGCCTACAGAGACATCCTGCTACCTCTGGCTGGCCCCCAAGGCTCTGGCCAAGTGCCACCGTCAGTCCTCACTGTCTGTCTGCACAGTATCCGAGACTGCCTCCTGCCTGCCAGGTTGGCCAACCTCCCAGAGCTGGCAGCTGAGTCTGTCCCAGTGCTGCTGGAGCAGGGAGGGGTGTCTGTCTGGGTCCTTCCTGTCCAGCCCGCTCTGCAGCAGCAATCCCAGCCACCATGAGAGCGCTCTGAGAAATAATAATAGCGACATGTATTGGGTGCTTGCTGTATGCAAGACAAAAGTCTAAGCACCTTATGTGCATTAATCCTTACAACACTGTGGGGTAGGTGCTATCACCATTTCTATTTTAGAGATTAAAAAAAAAAAAAAAAAAACAGCTCATAATTCTTATATAACTTACTCAAGATTACACAGCTAGTCAATGACAAGTTCAAACCCAGCAGTGGGCCTCTAGGGCCCGAGCTCTTCATTGTTACACTGACAGCTAAAGAGGCTGGCCCTGGGCCTTCCAGAAAGGCAGTTGCTTTGCATACACCAAGCGCCTTCCAGCCTAAACCTCCTGCCCTTCTTGACTCAGCCGCTGCCTGGAAGTCTGGAATGCCCACCGGGATCTGCCAGGAGGCCCACTCATAGCCTTGAGGCTGGAGCCGACCAGGGCCGCCTATCTTACGAGGAAGATAAATCTCAGACCTTTGAACGCTTGGGCCCACACACAGGGGATCCCAAACTCACCAGGCCCTGGACACAAGGCTTCCCTGCCACCCTCCCAGCCCTCAGTCCATGTGGTGCTGCTCTCCTCCAGCTCCATCAGAGCGATCCACAGCCGTGGCTCATCGCAGCCCAGCCCCAGGCCCCAGCGGTCTCCTGCCTGACCTGTCCCAGGACCTCATAACCTCATCAGAACAAAAATGACCTGTCAAGTCCAAAGAAGCCGTTCTTCCCACCACACGCATTCCCATTCCCTCCCTTTCTCTCTCTCTCTCTTTCTCCCCCCGCCATCACCCCCCACGCCCCAGGTGCCCTCACCTGTCACGATGGGGTAGGTCTGCGGCCCAGGCACGCTGCTTCCGATATCGGCAGGGGTGGGGCTGGTCAGGTTGGCCTTCATATCGTCCAGCCCTCCGGCCAGTGAGGCCATGGCTGAATACTCAGGGGTCTGGAAGAGAAAACAAAACAGAGACCTCTCAGCATCGAGACTCCAAAGCACCCCAGCCAAATGCCACTGCCACATTCTGGGCTCAGCCACCTGGCTGGCTGCCACGCCAGCACCAAGGCCTCCGCGGGGCTCGGGAACGCCCACATGTTGAGAGGGTAGATTCGGCTCAGCAGAGCAAGACAATGTCCACAATCAACAATCCTACTCAGGTGAAGAGGTGGGCAGAATTCAGGGCAGCTTCACAAGAAGTCAAACCCAGCTTCTCTGTGGCGTGCAGACTCCCCTTGCCCTGCCCCAGCACCAGAGACAACCATCATCTTCAACGCAGGGAAGGAGACATCAACCACCAAAAAACGACAGAAACAAGAGACATTGCCCAGAGGCTGGGAGAAAAGGTTTCTCATTCTGTGCCCTTAAACCACAGACAAAGAGTCACAGAAACAAGGTTAACAGAAATTTGGGACATCATCTGATCCAAACCCTCCTTTCACAGATGAGTAAACTGAGGCCCAAGGGGAGGAGGGCTCTGCCCAAGGCCAACAGGGCAGAGTCCCAGGGCAGGAATAGTTCACCATAGCCTCTCACTCCAAATTCAATACATCAAACCAACTGACAGTGTGGTGGGTGTTTGGGAATTCCGGAAAGCATGCGAACACCTGTGTGCTGAACACTGTAAGGTACGTACATCTGATTTACCAAGTCCACGCCAGCCACGTGCGTTGGCCCACGAGTCATGCTGCTGCCTTCAAGCCATTTCATGAAAGCAGAGCGTGCCATGAGTCATTTCCCTGGCATCCAAGCCATTGTCAGAATGGTCTCCAGAGAAGATGGCAAAGATGCCACCTGGGTGTCCCCCTTCAAGAACAGACTAAATGAGAGGCAGGAGTGACAGGTCTCTTCCTCCCACCCCATACGCAGCCTACGTTCGGGTAAAGTCAATATTTGCAAACACCTAAGCCAAAGAATTCGGTTGTGCGTGCCAAGCTCCGGTGTGGGAATTCCCTCCAGGACTCTGGCCCAGTCAACGGAAGACACGTCCCTGTTTGTCCACAATTATGTCCTTGGCAGGGAAGCAAGCAGTCCTGAAAGGAGTCGTGTGCACCCTGGGTAGGATCAGGAGGACTGGGAGGGAAACCAGAGGCGCTTCTAGGCCGAGGGGACTAAGACTCAGGCACATTGCTGGTGCTTTTCTATGCAAATGAATTAGAAAGTGCCTCCTGGGCAGCTCAGATGCCAACCAGGGAGGATGGCAGCCCTGAGCCCCGGAGCTGCTGCAGGCACAGTGAGATGGGTCCCAGCTTCTTCAGTCTTCTCCAGCAGAGGCTGGTTCTGAAGCCAGCCCGGGTGCTTCGAAGGGAGCAGGACAAGAGAGGAACACGCCTCCCTGACATCAGGAATCACTATCAAGCTACAGTAATGAAGACAGCAGGGGACTGGCACAGGGACAGCTGAACAGACCAATGAAACAGAAGCGAGTCCAGAAACTGTTCCATGCCTGCGTGGAACCCTGACATACGAGAGGTGATGTGCAATCAGGAAGGAGGCCTCTACGAAACAGGGTGGCGTAACCCGTTATCCATTCAGAAACAAGGGGAAAAAGAAACTGGATCTTTACTTTACACCAGACACAAACATCAATTCCAGGTGGATTAGAGACCTAAATGTGAAAGGCAAAAACATCTAATGGGGTCAGCTCTAGGTCCGGCCAAAAATCTTTGGGAACAAGTCTGTCCTTCATAAAAAGGGAACAAGTGGCCCTGGGATGCTCACACAGGGTTCTCGGTCACTGTGAGGATAGTAGTGGGTCCCGATCATGCTGCCGCCCTGCTCCAAAGCCTCCTCCACCAGGAAGTCCTTCCTGACTACCAGTCCCCAGGAGGCAGGAATCCTGCCTTGGCTCTGTTGACCCTGACAAGTGGTGCCGGGGCAAAATCTTCACAACCATGTCAAAAGCTCACATTTATCAACCACTTGCTCTGTGTAGGAGCTTGACCTGTATCATCCCACTTAATCCTCAGAATCATTTCATGCAACAGTTTCTATGCCATCCTCATTTTCAAATGAAGAAACTGAGACTCCTATTATAGCGGGAACTGGCTTGCCTAGGGTCACACAGCTTCTAGGTGCCAGGGCCAGGATTCAAACCTGGGTCCCTCTGACTCCGAAGTCTTGCCAATCGCTCCAATTATATTCATACCACGTCATGTCCTGACCCTTTAACAGATATGAAATCAATTTGCTAGTGCCAACATTTAAAAAAATAAAATTTAGAATGGACTAGAACAGGAAATATCCAAGGGTCTCACACACAGATTCTGTTTGTGAATCCTCGTTTCACATGTAAGTGGATCTGCATGCATTAGGTGGAGATGAAAACACATTTCTTTCTAGAGGTCACAACCCGCCAAGTCCTCATTCCATGCAGCAGGGAGCTGTGGGGAAAGGTCGCTGTCTAGACTTCATCCCGCACACATAGGATGGGGCCTGGTCTTGGCATTAGCCTCCTCTTTGCTAAGACGAATCCTGGAAGGAAAGCTCGCCGGAAGCAGCCCTTTGAGTTCATTGCTGTGTGCAAAGACGGGAGGTCAAATGCCTCTGATAAGGGTCTCTTCCTAGATGGCATCTCTGGAGGGCCAGGCAGCATCTCATCCGAGAGTCCACATCCTTGCACCCCTTCCCCCTTTCCCCTCCTAGACTCCAGGCTGGACAGCTGGGTCTACAAGAGAAAGCTGCAATTTCCCTCAAAAGACAGAGCCATCTGGGTTTAAGAAAAGTACAAGCGGGTGACCAATGGAGCCATCCTGCCTTTCAATGTCTTTAATGTCCACATAGAAGGGCCGTTCTGCTATTTGATTTTGTTTTTGTCAACAAATTCACTATCAAAGTTGGTCCAGTCACTTCAACTGTTAGGTTTGGATCATCTTTTCAAGACACACAATCTTCAGCTTGTGTTACATGTGCAGTAGACGGTCCAAAAACCCAGTCGCCCAACCACCACTGCTACCAGAAGGTAAGGTGAACTTCCCCGAAGAGCTGGGCCCAGGGTTAGTTAGCAGGACTTGGACACCAGCCCTCGCTGCCCTTCGCCGTCTGTGGTTCCCATCATTATCACCTCGAAGGGCCGGCCCGAGCCCAGTCTCCCTTCTTTAGTAGGATCCCACAGCTTTTACTCTGCTCCTGCAGGAGTCAGGGAATGCTGTCATTTAGATTAGGTGCATGATTATTCCTTAAATCCTCATCACTGTCTGTCCCTCTGAACTGCCTGTGATTTTCAAAAGCAACTGCACTTTCCCCAGTATGCTGGGCTCCCTGGAACTTCACTACACTGGTTGCTCCTCAGCCACTCCAGGCACAGTCCTACCTCTGCCCGGAGGTACATCTCCCTCATAACACTTAGTGAACTCCTACATTGTCCACAAGACCCAGCTCAAATGCCACTTCCTCCATGAAGCCATTCCTGGGCCCCAAACTCCGAAATAGAAATCATACCTCCCTTGTCTATGCATCCATACCTGACTGCTCTGCACAGACCTCCACTACCCCACCATGCAGGATGTTTGTCTATTTCCCTCTCGGTCGCCCTGAAAGCATGAACAGGAAACACCCCTAGAGCTCCCTAAGTGCTTGTTGAATGAATGAATGTGCGGTCCATTAGCATAACAGGAGCCACGACATTCCAAAATGAACTCGGGAGTGCTCCCATAACAGCTCCAAGTGACACATTAACCTTCTGCCTCTACTCAAGTCAGGTGACCAGAAAACAATGTCCCTTGTGTGCCGTAAGTTAAAGCCCCAGGAGAAGCGCCTTCACTGGTCTAGGATGGAATATCATCAGGCACTCCACATTGTTTGGAGGCAATGAAAGTAAACAGCCATACAAAGAACTTTTTTTTTGTAACCCCTGGAGACATGCACATTAGAATATTCAAATTCCATGTCAGTCCCTCCCACAGTTCATTACTGGGGGGAAAAACTTTTTTCTCCTGATGAATGGTTAATTTGTCTCCTGACCGAACAACAGGAACTTTGGAAACCACTACGCATCCTGGAAGCTCAGTCAAATTCAGTGCTCAGCTGCCATAACCACGTCACAGCTGGCACCTGGTGCACCGAGCTCAACATTCCTCTACATAATTTCTTAACTTTCTTCAGCCTTAAATTAACTAACGTAGATAGCTGTAATTGTTAATTTTGCAAGGCACCTCAAGTCCTTTGTGAAAGTGGAGACTGGGAGAGGTAGAAAAAATGACAAAGAAAGATGGGAAGGATGATCAGGAGAAAGAGAAGGGAAGAGAGAAGCATTCTCGGTGCCCCCTTTCCTGGTTACAGGAAGCCAAGGGCTGAACAGTGAGATGCAGACCCTGGGAATGCACCTGTGCGCTTGTGAACAAGGCCCTTCCCCCACCCTCGGCCATGACAGTCACAGGCAGCAGCTGTGTTCCACACCCCTACTTCTCTGAGCTCTTGGAGTTCTTTCTTAGGATGGCACTTTGGGATTCTGCTCCCTTCCCATCAGGGCCCCCTGTAGCTGTCCTTGACTATGACCCAGGAAGATAAATAAACGGAGGCCACAATTCCCAGACTGTCCACTCCAATCAACCAACTGGGATAAAACTCCTCTGCTCCTGCCACAGACTCCTGTGAGACCCCCAGGAGGGTACGCACACCCTCCGCACAGACACCACGTTCCAGATGTCTGAGCCAGAAGGATACTGAGGGTCGTCTTTCCCAGTGGGGAAAAGCTGAGGTACGGGGTGGGGGGAGTGGACATCCTCAGCTCATTTTTATCGGTAGCATGTATGTCCTTTGCCCCATGGTAGAAAGAACAGTAAACCAGGGGTGATAACATGGGGTTCTTGCCTCAGCTCGACCTCTCTGTCACCTGTGTGACCTTAGGCAAGCCAGGTGAGTTCTCTGTGCCTCATTTTCCTCATTAAGAGAATGAGATTTGAGTCTTGCTGCCTGCTTGCAGGGTGACTGAGGATCTGAAGGAGAAAGAC